TTGATCTTTAGTATAGGTGGGCATATATAATTATTATACAATTATTATATATATAACTTAACTACTTTGAACTAATTTAAGTAATTTTATAAATTATTAGAGTCAGGGTTAAGGTTAGGGTTTAAATTGGCTCAAATTAGTTAGGTTTTATATATTATAATCTTGTAATAATTTATATATGCCCACCTATACTAAAGGAGATCCTAATCTTATATAAGTTTTCTTAAATAATTCACACTATAATCGTTTTGTTGCATATGTGCTTGAATTTTACTGATCAAATTTTGATTTTCTACTCCTAGATCCTAATCTTGAAAGCTTGGTAATAATAATTGTTATATGTAGTAATAAATATTACATGTAATAATAATTACTATATGTAATAATAGTTATTATCTGTAATAATAATTACTACATATAATAACAATTACTGCATATAATAAAATATTATTACTATATACATGTAATAATATTTACTACATGTAGTGAATATTATTACAATTACTACTTTTGTAGTAAATAATTACTACAATTGCATATTAGTGCGGGAAAGGGAAAAGTGCGTACTCGTTTTTTTTAGTAAGCTATTGATTATTCAGCCCTTTTGATTTACAGTATTTCAGGAATTAAATATATCCAATATCTATATTATTGATATCAAATATATTTAATGCCCGAAATGCTATAAATCAGAAGGGCTGAATCAGAAAAATAATCAATAGCTTACTAAAAAAAACAAGTGCGCCCTTTTCTCTCTTCCGCACTCATATTATAATTTGAATTACGATGCTATACTTTAATTAAATCAAAATTATGAATGAATTAACATACCTTGTAGTACATCTTGACATATAAATTCACGACTAGCTTGATTTGCATTCTGTATATGAGACCAAGAACAATCGAATCCTACAGTTAAAGTTTTTTTACACCATACTTTTGCATATTCAATACATTTTTTTAATGCACTTGCTGTACTAGATTTTGCATTATCTATAATGGAAGTAAAATATATTTTTTAATAACGATGGTATGTATTTTTCTATATTTGATTTGTAATTCCAATTGTAGCCAATATGCTTTGTATTGCATTGTGAGATGTTCCTCCCGTGAGTTCTGCAGCGGTTACAGCTTTTGTGTACTAGATTTCTTGAGCCTCATTTGTATGTTCGCAGACGGTTTTGCATTTTTCACATTCCATTGTACTTTTAATCTGAAATCCAATTGGTGTTATATTTAAATTTTTATTCGTAAGGCTATTGTCACCGCAACCGGGACAGAGCTGCTTAAAAATTAATGAAAAGTATTGTTTTGTAGAAACTAGTAACGTGAAACTAAGTTGAGCAGATTCAATTGCATTATTAACACTAATTTCTAACAAATCAGATTCATCTAAATTTGTAGTTTTTTCTTCTAATTTGCTTTCTATTTCTTCTATGTATTTTTTTAGATAAGTTATTTTTCGATTCAGGCTATAGATTCGGCTTTTGCTTCTTTCATATTCTACTATCAAGGTTTGAGTATCTTCTGGCGTTAAAACTTTACCACATTTTTCTAAAAGTATGTTATGTTCTACCAGAATTTCTGTTGATATTATGTCGTCTAATTTTACATCTATCTCTCTGCTCTTTCTTTTTAAACTTTTTCACAATTGGGTTTCAGTCTTCGTTTGTAGGTTGGAATAAATATTCAAATAATGTACCTTAATAGTTACTTTTAATTCTGCAACATTTTCTACTTTTAAGAATCCAAGTAGATAAGGTAAAGAGCGTGAACCATGGGGATTGTACTTTTTCATTACCAATTTAAAAAGACGATAGTCATGCCCGTCTTCAAATGGTTGTGTGAAGTTAGAATTAAGTTTGTAACAGTACTACTGGAATCTGAGATGGTAGTCTTCAAATTGAATACTAAATTTCTAAATTCTTTTTGATATTCGGAAGAAAACAGAATACCCGGGTAATAAAGGGATCCAATCCTCTTTGTCAACACTGGGTTTATAATGATAGTATCTGGCAAGTGACGACATATTCTTTTTTAATGAGATTCCACTACAATGCATATGCAAAAGCATAACATATAAACTTGGATAAATTTCTCTAACAAGCCACCTATCTTTTTTATTTCCCATCAAGAATCTATTACCTGGCATTGCAGAAATACAGGTTTTGTACCACTTAGACATTTTTATGTTTTTATATTACTATATTTAAAAAAAATCACTGACGTTTTTACAATATTTTACTGTATTGAATGTTGTAGATTTGTTCAATTGCTTCTATTTTATATTTTTTACTAATTATTGTCCATAATAGTCTGCAAAACTCCTGGTATTAATAAAATTAGTCAATGATCATTCAACTCATAGGTAATTTGTCGATTATAAACATACAGATGCTAGTCAACGTCGATAGTTTATCTATTTTGTAGATCATTATAGATGTTTTATCAATTGTCTTTGAATTTAGGTATAGCTATTAATGGAGAGCGAATAACAAACTATAGTGAACAAGCCGATTTAACTCTAATAGTATACAAGAGAATAATGATGAACTTTGAGCAAACATAATAGGTCTTTTATAACCGATGAAAAACTAATTGGATGATGATGATGGAGTGATGATGCTATTAAGAGTGATGATGTGATGGATTATCAAAGATGTTCTACCACAGTTTTCACAAGTATATTGTAAATGGCAATATTTAATTCCACGAGCATACCAGAATTCGAGTCTTAGTAAACCAAAGTTACAAGCCAATTCAGTTCGTCAAATTGAGTTTAAAAAAAGGTTATCAAAGTTACAAGTCGAATTCAAAGATAATTCTTATGAGAAAATTCAGACAAGTGGATTTTTATTATTTATTAGTATTTAACTGTGGACTAGAGAACTGTCCTTTCTTTATTGAATTCAAGGCACTTATATTCAAATTAATTCTTTAGGATGTCTACAGAACACTGAATAATACTAACAGAGGTTATATTGCTGCATTATCTACTTTTTTTGAATTTGGCTTGGTAGTTTTTTTAATTTTTGACTGGTTTTAACCACTTTTCATCTGTTAGTATTATTCGGGTCCTATATTTATACTACAACTTTAAGGTTTATGCTGAGATTTAACGTATTTATAAAGATTTCAACATATTTTAGAATTTTAAAGTGCGCGTCGATTTTGATGTATACTCGATGCATCTAATTTTCCATTATCGATTACCATTTATAGTTTTCACTTTCGCTATGTATGACATTGGTTACGTTACCAAAATGGAATTAGAAATGTACAATTGCCTTATTTACTAATATGTATGACCAATATGTAAATACAAAATAAAAGACAAATATGAAAGAAATTATTTGATAATAATAATTCGCGACTCTTTCGTTACAAAATATAGATTTAGTATAGGCCACGACTGCATGATTAGCAATTGACGAAAGTAACAAAGGTATGAACGTGTTGTACAAAGAAGCTTTATTCAAAATTTTAGTATGATAATTTTTAAACAAATGTAGCTAACTTTAATTTGTGTATAACAGATATTTTTTATTTTATATTAAGGCATAGCATATATGGATGTTCATGAAAATGAGTTAAAGACTATTGGCGCCAAAAACATGCAAGAATGCTTCAGGTTAACTTAGAAGTTTGATTCGCATATTACGATACTATTCGGCTTATATTTTGCACAAATTACACAAATAATATACCTCTTGGTAAACATATTTTTTATAAGAAATTTTAGTGATCAGTAAGTTGTCACTAAGTCATCAATGAGTTATATGGCATATGAAATGAAAAATTGCTTTGCGCGAACATTTCTAGGTTATACTGCTTTCCAAAACTCAAAATTAATAGATAACACTAACAATGAAGCACTAATAAGTATTATATTAGATATGCATTTGTTTATTATCACTTGATATATATTCAGTGCTTAATAATTTGCATATTATTTTATCAGATAAAGTAATATTGTAATACTGTTCTGCAGTACGAATTCAGACAGGCATATGAAATTATACTAAAGTTTGATCGTACGTACAGTCCTTTTTTGTTAGATTATAATAAAATAATTTTTAAATGTTTTTTCTTTTACAAACTGTATATTCGCACTGTACCATTTTTCTAAATATTCATTGTCAATCAATATTACAAATAAATTGTTTTTTGAAATTATCACTTTATTTTTTATTAAAATCGTTTCATAATATATATATATAAAGTCTTTAGCAAATGACTATAAGATTAATAAAAATTGCTAGTATTATTACAGTATATTAAAATACAAGTAACTTTTGATATAAGAAACCTTCGATTATAAGAAACTCTTGATATAAGAATTTATAAGTCTCAAATAATAAAAAGCTATCAATATAAGATCTCGATATAAGAAAAATTTTGGCCGAACCGACAACTTTCTTATATCAAGAGTCACTTGTAATATAGAATTTGGTGACGCAAAGAGAAAACCAGGCCTTGATTATCAAAATTTATATAATCGAAGTTTGGTTTTCCTCTGGCATCACTCATTTATTAAAAAATTATAATAGTGTTGGCTTATTGTGTTTAGTATTTTATTAAACAGCAAAAATTACAAATTGTACATACAAATTAATTTTTTTCTAATGCATTGGATTTTCTCTTTAACAATGAAAATGGTGGTGATGATAAAAGTAGTGGTGGTGTTAGTGATGAAAGTCACTGCGGTGACGGAACAATAGTAGATGTTGATATATATGATAACCCAGAAATAAAAGACTCTATTTCTATAGAATCATTAGTATTAAACAATATGTTACGTACAGTGCAAACTATTGTCATTCTAAAAGTAAGCAAGCTATGAATTAGAGAATAAACATCCTCTGAGTTTGTTGATAGAATATTCAAAGGAATCTTCACTTGACTAAGTAATGAAACTCTATATATACCAAATTCTTTGTATATAGAGCGAAATTCTACAACATCCCCGGCGACATTGATTGTAAATATTGACATGTAACTTAATGCCATATTTTCAAATTTCCTTTTGTTTCTTGCCGACTTAACGTCATCAATTGAATCTTTGCCAAATCTATTCAGTTTTTTATGATCCTGTTTTTGTTTTTTAGATGATGATTTCGGACGACCCATTTCAAGGTATTCTATCTCAACTTCTTTGGCACCTATTTGAGCAATAACCATATAATCAGAGTGTTTTGCCCATTTACCAGATTCCTTTCTTTCTGCACTAGCTAAACTTGCCTTTTCTCCCCTATTTTATTTAAAATTATATCAGTATTTTAAATAATAAGAATAATTAAATAAAACAATTATATATACCATATTCTCCATATATCAGAATTTATTGGCAGGTTACTCATTACAATATTTATTAATGGCGATAAAACATTCGACACGTAAGATCTCTCATTTATAGATGACAATTTGTTACCCATGTACACTTTCCACTTAGGTGAACTCCAAACCTAACTTAGCACTTTTAATATTTGATTTGTTAGCTCATGCAGTTTCTCAGGTTTATCTAAAAATTTACTGAACGACACGTCTTTATATACTTGAGGTGATTTAAGACGCTTCTCTTGTTCTTTCCGAATGAAATTTTCACAAATATTTCTTAATGCGATATTTGTGGGTAATTTAAATTTCTTATTCGGTATTTTGAAAGTCTGTCGTGATTTATCACTTATATTCTTTAATAGTTTCAAACTATCATCAAGAATTCCAGAGCATAATGAATGGTCATATCCTAACCCCGCTACAGTTATACCATCTAATTTGTTTTCTATTTCTTCCCATATGTCTTTTTCGTCTCCTGATGTGCTCAATGCAAACTAATTATGCATTTGTCAGCCTATTAATTGAATTCCTTAAGCGAGTTAATTGCTCTATGCAAATACAAACCTGATGCACATTATTTTTTAAATTATCAAAGTTTTTTATCACATCGACCACCCAAGATGTTTCTACATCCTATAATTATGCAGAAAATTTTAATTATAAGCTTAATTATTTAGACCTTTAAAACTTCACTTAGTGGTGCAAATGGCTTGAGCTGAACCGTGAGCCAAATGGTTAAGCTAAGTCGTTAAATAGCTTAGCTTCGAGTTTACTAATAAAGTGGCACTAAAAATAACTCAGCTCAAAACCTTGAGCCGACCTTAGAGCCGTAAGCCAATAGATCTAGCAGAGAGTAAATTCCTCAGCATTGGTCAATAAAAATTATTTTAATAATTGAAACATGCGTAAATATAAAAATGGAATTGGAAGCTAGAAATTAGAAAATGGTTATGCTCACTTAATTGACAAATACCTTATTTATAAACAATGAATTCACAGATAAATTCATTTTATGGGAAATTAACTTATAGACAAGTTTATTTTATGGAAAACTCATTAAATAAAAATTTATTGCACCAACACCTCACTTTACTGCCAAATTATAGTCATTATTAAAAACTTGTACATGAAATGAGCTATTGGTGGAATAAATTGCCCACGAAATAAATTGTTGTTAAAATAAAAGCCATAAAACGAACTCGATTGTTTACAAAATAAACTTATCTGTAAATTAATTTCTGTGAAATAAGGTGTCTATAAACGATTGTCGGTGAAATGATATGAATCCAGATAGAAATCCGTTTTCGAAAATCTAAAATTTTATATATCGCTTATTTTAGTTAGAATCAGGTAATGTTAAATTTTTTAAAAAAAAATAGAATCGACCATCTAAGAGCATTGTTTAGCTCAAATTAGAGTAATGGCTCGGCTCTGATCTGTAAAGCAGAAGGATCAGCTCAGTTTAATCAAAATTAGTTGAGTCAAGTCGAACTAGCAATTTGCATCACCAACTTCACGAACTAAATGTATACCGGAAAAATATTCAATTCTAATGAAGAACGAATATATTCAACCGCATCTGATATCTAAAATAAATAAATAAATAAATTAGCAAAAAGAAAAAAGTAATTATGCATAATAAACCCAGGTACATGCGATCAGATTAGTTTTCTTTGTTCATATGAATTTTAAGTTAAGCCAGCTAGTAATAAAATATACCTTCGAAGAATTTGCATATGGTATTTTATGCATATAAATAGCTACTTCCGATGTCCTCTCAAAATTATTAGAAAAGCCGAAGTACATTTGCTATTTATACACTACCTTATATGCCATCTACATTGGTAATTAGAAGTGGTAGAAAAATTTGATCCCTATCCCTCAAGTTATTATATATGTATTATTTCTACAACTTCTAAAAGAAAACCAATCTTTCATCATATCGAATAAATTTATTCAAATCAATCGTAAATATAACTTACACGTAGTTCTAAATATTTATTTTTCTTAAAACTTTGCAGCTTTTCCAACCTCTTATCATCTTTTGCATCTTTTACACGTTTTATTGCTGTTTTGAGCATCTCCCTGAAGTTCTTCAATTCAATCTCTTTATCTTTCGTCCACTCGTTTGTCTCAACTCGCTTATATAAAGCAGTAAAGATAGTGATAGCAGAAATAGGAGTAAAAGAAACAAGAAAAGATTCCATTTTTAATTTGCAAAATAAAAAAGCGTTATTAGAATTTGCTAAGAGTGTAATTACTAAAACAAAAAAAGAAAGAACAAAAAATTATAACATCTCTTTTTAAATGACCAATATGCACTTTATGCCAATTTCGCATGCTGAATATGATTATGGATTTATTTAGTACCCACATTCGTACGTACGTACCTAGGATAGATCAAATGGGTTAATTTTTACGTATCATTATAAAACTTCGAGACTTTGATCAAACTGTAAATAACCAAACTGAACAAGTCAATTTATATGATAGATCAAACACAGTGCTGTCAATAAAGTCTTGTTCTAATCTCAAAATCCTGAAAAAAGTTTAATTTTTTTTTAAAAAAACTGATATGAGTGCCACTATGAGAAAACCCATAAATCTTATTAAATAAGATTTGTGGGTTTCTCTTGGCGGCACTTATAAAAAACTGAACAACTGCTAGTTCTATAAACTCTTGAAATTGACAAGCGGTTTGACTTTTATTGTATGCATATCATTTCTATACAAGGTTTATGCGATTAGAATTCTTACGGTTCTGGAAAACCAACAGAATTTTTTTTTTTGTTGTACTACCTAGGAAGATTATTAGTCGACCTAGGAAGATTTGATAATATGAGCATAGAGGTTTTTTTAAATAATATGGAGGTTTAAAACTTAATGTCACAAATAGAAGGTTCAAATCTATCTGCCATAAAATTTTGGTAAGGATTGACTATGTTTTGAAAACTTTTTGCTAATAACATATTTTTAATGTCTATATAAAATGTTTTTTTGTACAATAAAATTTATATAAAAATGATCTACATGTACTCTACCCTTAAGTTATAATTTGTACTATATGAGTGCCGTCAAAGGAAAACCTACAATCTGGCTTTCAATTATATTTTGTGCACAGTTGGCCATCTATCGACAATCTATCATCTGACTTTAAATCATATTTTGTGATAGATTGTCGATAGATGGCCAACTGTACACAAAATATAATTGAAAGCCAGATTGTAGGTTTTCCTTTGACGGCACTCATATATTACTAGGTATTATTTAGTTAAAATATAATTTTTTAACCAGTGAGAGTGCTAAGTTCGAACCTCTAGAATCGTTCATCAGTGTTGATGCTCTAAGTCTTAACAATGGATAAGCAAGATTGTCGTTATTTCACTCAATTATGATAAATATACTCGTCTTTTTGAAAAAGACAATTATCACGATGTCTAAACTTTATTTTGTTTAATTAACTGCCTTTTTTTTGTTATACTGTATGATTCACGATTCTATCAGACGATGAGTATTAATTTCATTTTAAGCCAATTTTTATTTAAAAAAAATGATGTAAACATATAAATTTATACTATTGACATATTTTCATTTATCAATGAATTTATGTCAAAATAATACATTATAATTCCAAAGTTCAAAAAAGTTTTAAGGAATGAGTTACTCCATTTGATCAAGCTTCAACTTCTAAATCCGGGACAACACCAATAGTCTCCCACTTTAAACATTCAAGAAATTTCTCATCTAACTCTTTAACATCACAATTAGGAGTAATTGCAATAGCATTAATAGCCTTTGGAAAAGATTTGTCCTCTGCTTTATTTGGTGTGTTTTCATTAAGTGTGTAATTCTTAATGAAATCGCAAGAACGTTCTATTGAGAATTGAGTAATTTTGTCGGGCACAAACTAATTACAATTGTAAAAAATAAAAGAAATTAAATATATATATGAGATAATAGAAAAAAGTAAATCGATATTTCTACACCTTTAGGTTACAATCATTGTTACCCGGTACGTGCATAATTTATAATGTACTGTACGTACGTACGTACAAGGATGCGGAAATACCAATTCCCCATAAAAATTTAGTATAAAGCATAACTCACACGTTGGAAACAATGACATGCATCTTCATAAACTTCAAGAATCACTTCAGTTGACTCCTTGAATGGTGAATTAGCAAAATTTGTTGTAGCGTATTTAGGTAATTGAAATTTACTTGGATCAGAAGCTCTGAAACTGAA